TATATATATTGTTGTTACCTCAATCTAACAAGAAACGTTGCAAATTTTAATTATAATCACGACGACAATGGAATGGAGTTGGTTCACCAAGATACTACCTGCTTTGCCACAATTCATTATGCAGGAAAGTGCAATGAGATCCAAGGCATCCACCAGCCAAGTGTGCGCTTCTAAAGAATGGGCGATATCAATATATGAAGAATTGGATGCCGAGGTTGAGGTAGCAAATATTATTCTTGACTATTCATTTTGAATTAAGCTTAGATGATGATGATTCATATTGGATGCTAATATACGGTAAATGTCATTGAGTCACCGGTAAGACTTTTTAACTTAAGTTGATAGTAAGCATGGGTCTGCAATAGGTTACTTGTCTAAGGCGTTAGATAGGGCCAAAAACGAAAAGGCTTATGAACGTGATGTGTGTATATCAGCATTATCTTGATAGTTTTGATGATATGTGTGATCCATGCAACAGTCTTGCAACATCTATCTACATTCAGACAAACTTTCCTTTGCAGCATGTGGGTACTAGATACCATCTCATGTCACTAATTTGAAGATAAAGTCGATATTCAGATCACTTGTTTTTAAGCTTGGACTGCATCTTATTTGGTCCTATCCAATGCCTATACAAGTTGCCAATTGCTCTCCTCATTATTATTCAAGTGCAACACTCTCCTTAGTGGCTCGGTGACATCTGCCATATGCTCACTACGTCTCCAAAATAAAGAAATCCCTTCCACCTCAACCGCGGCCTTCGATTTTGCATAATGGTGATTTCATCCATTGTTCAAAAGTAAACATTTACCTAAGGGCTATTTTAGTTCTCACTAAAGTATTTAAGGTAATCAAGTTTGTGAGAAAGGGTGCAAGAATTGGGAGAGCGAACTTCCTCTCGCAATTTCCCCTCTTCAAACTCGAGAATAAATTGTTGATTACATTCAAACTCAAAAATAAGTTATTGATTTGATTGTAAATAAATGGTAGAAAACCAGCACCTAGAAGGGATACATGTGAGGGCGATTTACTCCAATGACCCGCCTTCTTTGATCTGAATCAAGGGAATGAAGAGCAAGGGTCTTTCAGCCCCTACTTTTGCTACTACACTAAGTAGATTGCCTTCCAACTCAAGGTTAGGAACACACGCTCTCTGTCTCTATATACCGTGAAGGAAATTTTCAGTTTTATTAATCAAATTGACACCAAAACCATCTCATTGTTAGAGCAATGTTTAATATATAAAAACCCATTGGCTTGAGCTAGACAAAAACCAAAATACCCCTATCAAAATATAAAAATGACTAGATTACCTTTGTCCCTTATTCCCCATATATTAACTTGTCTGCATATAACCTCCATGCACCTAAATTCCCATAGATGAAGTCAAATTTCTATGCTTTGAGACTACACATCTTTCACCTTTAAACTCCTGAAAACTTTCGCACATTAAATTACTTAATCTCTACACCAAACTCTGTAGCCCTTGACTTTAATTCTAAACCCAAGATAATTCCTAATAAAAAATTATAAAAAAAAAACATTAACAAATCCCAAATGATTGATCTAACAAATAGATAATGACAAACACATCCTAGAGCCAATCTAACAAAGAGATATTGACATACATGTCTTGGGTCCATCAAGCTTGATGATGCACTTTGCTTCATCCTCTCGGGTATGAAAAAGCTCAACTCTGTCGGTTTGTCGTCACCATGATATTTGAATAGGTCTTGCACGTTGAAGATTGGGAAGATTTTCACCCACTTGGTAGACCTATTTCATGGGCATTTTAATTGCTTTTCTTTTTTATAAGGGTCTATCTTTTATACTTTGAGCATGCCATAGGTATCGACGAGAAATCACTCTGGCCTGAGAAACAACGTCTCCAACTTACTGCGGTCGTCAATGTTGATTCATGACATCTCGATACTTGGCATGGCCTTCCTCCAAATTCTTTTGAACCTTTAGTGCAACTTCTGCATATATTTAAGCATGCTAGCACCATCTACATCAACATTCTCACGTGGATCATAAAAATGCAAAGGTGATATGTCATAGATCACATGAAATGAAGTTTTTCCGGTTGGTCGATTTGGATAATTGTTATACATGGACTT